TGGCAACGTTGCAATTGCATTGCAATGAGTACAACAAATCACAGCAATTGTGTCAATCGCCTGTACACCGGCAAACATGGCGTGTCATCATTGCGGAACCATGGTAAGACAATACATGAGTTGAGCACAGAAAGGATAGTTGGTTGGTTGCATTGGGTCCGGAAACCCTTAACGACACATACTGCAGCAGACAGTCAGATATCGGTCAGTGTGGCGTCACGACTGTGGAACTTCGATCTACGAGGGGCGATTGATAAGTTGTGAGCCGAATGAGTGTGGTACGGATGAATTCCTTTGTGGTGGTGATAGACTGATCAAGTACAGTGACATACACAGGAGGATGGTTGTAGTGGACACATTATTTAGTTTCGTATAAGCTATTGACTGCAAGGGGGGTTATGAGGTGACTTAAAATGGAGAAACAGGAAAAGCGAGCTGTTATCAAATACCTTTACAAGAAAGGCTTAACACCCAATGCCATATATGAGGATATGTTATCCACTCTAGGGGAGGATGCCCCGTCATATGCAACAGTGAAAAGATGGGTGGCAGAGTTTAAATGTGGGCGATTGAGCACTGACGATGAACCCCGTCCTGGTCCACCTGTTGTGTCGTCAACACCTGAAATGGTACTGCGAATCCTGGACATAGTCATGGACGACCGACGAGTGACAGCGACAGATAGACAACTTAGTGGACATCTCTCAGGAGCGAGTGCATTTCATTCTGACAGATATTCTAGGAATGCACAAGGGTTCTGCTCGATGGGTCCCCAAACTGTTGACAGCTGATCAGAAACGTCAAAGAGAGAATCTCTGAAGGGAGAACCTCAAGCTTCTTGAAGGTGATCCAGATAACTTTCTCAAACGATTTGTTACAGTGGACGAAACATGGTTCCACCACTTTGAACCTGAATGAAAACAACAGTCTAAACAGTGGAAACATGTCACATCTCCTACTCCAAAGAAAGCAAAGTCTGTGCCTTCAGCTGAGGAAAGTCATGGCATCCGTGTTTGGGGATTTTGAAGGTGTGATCATGGTTTCCTAAAGGCCGCACTGTTACAGGGACTTACTATGTGGAACTTCTGAGACAGTTAAGAGAGAAAATCAAAAGTTACGCGACGTGGAAAGTTGTGCTTTATCATCACGACAATGCTCCAGCACACACATCACTGATAGCAATGGCCAAAATCCATGAGTGTGGCTTTGAATTTCTCCAACATCCACCTTATTCACCTGATTTGGCTCCGTCGGACTATCGTCTGTTCCCACAGTTGAAAAGGCATTTAGCTGGAACTCATTTCCAGTCAGATGATGACGTCATTACAGCGGTCAACAACTTTTTGAATGACCAAGAAGTTGACTTCTACAAAAGGGGCATAATGGCATTGCAACATCGCCGGCAGAAGTGTGTTGAACTTAAAGGGGACTATGTCGAAAAATAAAAAGCTTTGGTATCAAACTGACTTTGTTTCCTTTGTTAGGCTTAGAACTTATGAATCGCCCCTCCTATAGGCAAACAGGAACGTTGTGATAAGACGCGGTCGTGAAGGGAAGCCCAAAACCAAACCTCGTGAAGATCGCGAAAAAAGACTCTTAGCTTAACGGAATCTCTATACATCAGACGTCGTGACTGTACGAGCCGTAATCGCCTCAAATCGTAGGTTCCCAAAAGTCGTCGTCATCTGGTAGGCATCAGAATGACAAATACACATAGACGTTTTCATTTATGGTGGTACGGTAGCATGGATTTGTAGATTTACGCTAATGGTGTCATTTCATGTTGAGTCCAGATGGTCGCGTCCGCGTTGGGCAGCAGTTCCACGACCGTCACATGCCATGCAGCATAAAAACGCATGACAGATGATGAGGGTCTGTGATTGAGTTGCGCGGGATCACGTTTGGGATTACAGGACTGACCTCATTCGCCTCCATGGCTGGGTGACTGGTATCTGCTACCGTGGAGGCCAGTTGCGGGACCGTTTGCGGGCGGGGCGACTGTCTTCACACTGCTCAGGTATCCATGTATGTTGCACAAATCCAACAGCTAAACTGGGGTTCCAAAAGTTTCGACTTCAGCCCCATTAAACATCGGAGGTCGTCGTTTCCAAGACTATGTACGACAGCCTCCGATGAACAGTATTTAGCTCTCCAAGATGAATGGCTAGGCATTCCAGAAGCCACCATCGGGAGCCTCATACGGAGCATGCCTAAACTGTGCCAGGCGTTACTCGCGTTGTTAACATTCGGAATTATGACACCACAGTATGTTCGTTTTGGTCAAGCGTTCCCTTGTTTTTGATAAAACATCTATAAAGATTTGCCAAAAACCCATGGGTGATGAGCGAGATCTATACAAGATGTTAATGTATTTATATTTTGTATGATTTGCCGAAAGTGTGATCATAATAATCTCACCTGGTTACCTAATGCTAGTGTATCAACTTACGTAATAGTATTTTGCTTAGCAAGACTCTCAGCTCTATGAGGTTATGAGGCACCGATGGTAAAGATTTATCAGCTTATATGAACATAAATCAATGCGAACCCAATTTCATCCTTTTTTAGTACCGATAATATGATCGTATATAAACTATTCCAATGCATACCCTTCATATCAGAAATGATACATAACTTTCTAAGGCATGTAAACATTTGAAAATTTACATAATAAATATTTGGATCTAAATTCATTATAGCGTGGTTAGATCTAGAAGTAACGTAGCTCTTCCATGAAACTCTTCAACTCCTAAATAAGTTTACAATCAGAAAAGGAGAAAACAAAAAAAAATCCTCTGATCTCATCTCATTTATGTCGTGGCCTGTTTCTCATCGGAAACCATTAGTCCAATGTAGCTGAAATGATGACAACCCAGTATGTTAAAGGGGTCAAACCTAAATTTCAACATGGCCGCAACGGAAGATTTTTTGTCCAAATGTAATAATACATATGTACCATTGTATCCGATAATTTAACGTGAGACCTTAGTACTTAGACCATGCTCCTAAATTACCTCAAAATGCATTTCCTCTACTGAGAAACAAATTGACCAATGACGTTGAAACATGCTCGTTCCAAACAAAGATGTCACCTGAATTTGTTCGAATCCGATGTTATGTCACATATGAAACGCTATTCATAGTCATTGCTCTAAAATGTAAGGGAATTGTGTGAATATTTCTATAGTGACATGGAGGGGGACACACCTAATCCTAGTGTTGTATGCAGCATAAGCTGTGATATGTTATTAAATGTTGCCATTACAAGAAACCCCACTGACATTTTATTCAGTGCAATGCACCCGGGACAATGTAGTCATATAACAGATGAATACCCCCTGCCTGTACGCACTTCTTTTTGTATTTATAACACAAGTGTCAATAGCAGAGTAACTTTTCAGAATAAATCCTACATTCAAGCACAGCTTTTGTATTTTCGTTTAATGTATTCCCGGGCACGCGGACTTTCTGTGGTCTCACTGGCAACACTGTGTGCATCCGGGACCTGTTATATAAGGGGTGGTATAACCATAGCCAGGCTATGACACATGCATAAGTACTCGTGTGTTTTACAGAGTGATTGTATCACTGGTGATGAATAAGGATGTTTTTGTAATAATTCTCATACATATTTACCCTAACTGGCGTTACATTGTATTCACACAAAACGTAACATAGTCTTCATTGTCTGATTTAATATGTTCTGAGTTGACTTATGTATTTCAATTTCTATATTCTTTCAATGCATCATAGATAGATGATCGTACGCCAGTTATGTATAGCTGAATATGTCAGGGTTGTGAAAATTCTCTGATGATGTGTAAGTTCTTACTGCGTATGTTCAACCGTAAACAACATTGTGTTCTGTAGCACTCTCACCCTCGATTAACACTGGTGAGTACGTGACCGTGTTCAGTCAGGTACTAGTACCTGAAACTGTATGTTGCATTGTGCCATGTCAAGAATCGAACCTCCGGTTTTAACGCTTTAACTGTAGGTTTAATTTTAATTTACAATAATAAAAGATTCACGTACATATGTACCTGAAATCAGAATACTGACACCGACAATAACATCATCAGCTGCTTTAGTTTCCATATACATGTGAAAATGAAATACAAGTGCTACCAAACTTTCTGTAGCATGGACTGGCTCTCGGTATTAAGGACACAGAATAAGACATGACTGGCTCGGAGTCAGTATGTATGTCTGAGTGGGGAACCATGTTTAAACTATGGCATGGTATCTCAGTGCGCGTGCACAAAATATTCTGTGACACCATTTCAGCTAACCTGCAGCATGGGAATTTTGAAATACTCATAGGAAATTAATGGAGTTTATATCACGGGGCACATCTCGCGGAACGTCTGAAGGTTTCAAAATATCTTAACCAATAACACATAAACCTTATAAAGTTTGCCAACACAAATGAGACGTGTCTAGTGTTACTCCCATGTGTTTAGGAACAGTCACATACAACTTTGAAACTCTGTTCACAAGTGCTTTTATTGCCACTCGAGTGTAAACGACAGCAATCTCAGTCAGGTGTGAGATTCAATTACTCAAACATGTGAGTGACAAGAGGGGTATTCATGTCTTATTATTGTCCCATCCAAGTATGTGTAGCTTGGGTTGTATCAGCACACATTTCAACTGACTTCAGACGTGTTCTGCAGCGAATCTGCCAACACTGTTGACGGGATTGACTTACAAAAACGAATACAGCAGTAACCAAACCACATTCAATAAAAGAAAGGCGGGTTTGCTGAAAAGTAAAAGGGGCAACTCGCTGATTTAGGCTTTCGGTCTGCTTGGTTATTCCCGAGGAAAGCATGAATCATTTGTCTATCATAAGAGATGTGTAAACATGTGTCATTGTGTAATCCTTTGAATGTTTCTGTAATCCTTTGAATGTTCCAGAAGCAAAATTGTTACACAACATATTGAACTTTTTTTCTTGCAGAAAATGACATCCATTAATATACCATTTTCATTGAAAGGTGAAGTGACAAGACTGCTGCTTCATCGATTAAATGTTATAAGGTACGTTTTTTATTATGTATGTTTGAATTTTCTTAACTTTCCTCCATAATAACTTTATATAATATCAATTTCATAATGCTTTCATTCCATTTGAATGTCATTTAAGTCAGGAGAACCTAACGACTTGCCACTCCTGTCAGCTGGTCTATTTGATCAAACATTGAAACATATAAAAGGTGTTAGAAACACCGTATTTGAATTTTGGACTGACGCATCATATTTCCCTTCTGTTAAGGAAATCTAAGGAAATCATGTGTTGTCGTTTACATTTAATTAGAAACAAAGACCTATTACTTTCCATACCCCTGCAATCTGTACTCCCGGTTCTACCAGTACACTATTACATTTACGTGGGCCCCAATGTATACCTCAAAATCCTGTTACATTTTACTTACTGGGTAATTTTGACATATCACAATTTCCATCTGTCCGAGTCAATCAATTGTATTGAATAAGTTGTCGTTTACATTTAATTTGTAATAATTCCGAAATATCAATTTTTCCACGTACCTGTCAAACTTGTACTTCCGTCTCATCAGAATAGAGAGACACAGAAGGAAGTCGTTACAGGATATTTTTCACTTTATAACCAGTCATTACGAGTGAAACTATCAAAGAAGGCAATACAAAAGCGTTTACACAAGAATGACTGTCATATATGGGTAGTTCAGTGTAAACAACCATCTCTTATCAAAATCGGTTTAAGCGGAGGGCTGCTGCCAGATGCCACCTTCAGTGGACCTTCAATGGACTGAAACACAGGATGCGGTAAGTTATGACCAGAATGATGTTGTTATTTTTTTAGATAATGTAGAAAGGTGAAAGTGAGAGCCCTATTGTAATAGTTCTGTTTATATATTATTATTCCTTATTCCGCCCTTTTATGTTACAACTGTGACTTCAGCAGCAATCACCAGAAGGCAGACCAATGGGAACTAGTGCATACAATTAATAGCGACAAAACCCTGTCCATGTTCATAAGAAATCTCTGCCAAGCAGAGTCGATTTTACCATTCCAACTATATCATGAGCATGTGTTTATGAATCATTATCAAATAGTGATGATACCAAATGCTCGCGAAACTGTGAGCGTATCCTGCTTCACCGGTGGCACCCGTCACAAACACAGGCAATTGTTCACCTGAAAAACACGAGATGTCCTCCACATGTCTACCATAAAACTTTTTGAAAGCTTTACTGAGGGCTTGAATGTTGAAATCTTGATCGAACGACATCATCGCCCTTCTCTATCTTCTCTTTCGTAAACGATCACGTTATTCCATGTTGGAACTTGAACAGCGAAATGAAAACAACTGCATACATGTTCTTTTGTTCCCCTTTTCAACCTGTCAAGCTTACATTAAGCCAAAAAGCCAAAAATGGAACAATGAATCCCATCCATTGCCCTCAGGCTGGAACAATTTATATGTTTCTTAAATTTTGACTGTCCCAGCCTTAACATTTCTGGAAAAATGCCAAAATCCCTTAACCGCTACTGTGCTGTTATGTTCATATATAACTATCTCGCTTATGTCATCGATGAACTGTTGAACCGATAACTTTGCAGCAATGACAAATAACCGATCATATTATTCCGAAATAAGCCAACTATACACATGCACAAAAATTAAGCGCCACTATATTCATAGTCTCTTGATTTCACGTGTGGGAATCCGAAATACGAAATATGATGACGTATGACTGAATTAGGCTTCCATAGTTTCATGAACCCAAATTTGGCCAGATACCTCTAGGAAAGCGTGCATTACGTGTTGCTGCAGTTCCCCTACCCTATAAATAGTGAAATTCAAGTTTCAGACACGTGGTTGCATTTTGCTCCTGTGTGGGATTTCCCTTCCAATAGAGGTTGAAAATCAGCCATGGTGAGGAGAAAGTTAACGAACGCTGAAAGATGGCAAGTGATAGGCTGAAAAATGCTAACATGTCATGCAGGGCCATTGCAAGACAAATGGGTCGTCATCACAGTGTTATCACTCGTTTGATTGTAAAACATGGTCAAACCAATGGTAGGCCAAGAAAGACCTCTAACAGAGAGGATAGACGTCTTTTCAGGATAGTCAGACGAAATCCATTTGCCACTTCAACAGATTTAAGACTGCAGTGGATTACCCATCAGACACTCTCGATGATGACCGTAAGGCGTCGCCTCAGAGCGGCTGGTTATAACGCCAGAAGACCAGTAAAACGTCCTCAACTGACTGAGAGGCACATGAGGAATCGTCTGATATGGTGTCGTGCCCGTAGTCGATGGAACTTGGACAACTGGAGAAGGATCCATTGGTCTGACGAGTGTTGAATGCTGCTACGAACTGTTGATGGTCGAATACGTGTTTGGAGGCAACGTAACACTCGTTTTGCACCAAGGAACATCCAGAATACCTTAGCATGTGGCGGGGGGTCTGTCATGATATGGGGTTGTGTTTCCTTCGGCTGCAAACTTCCGCTGGTGACAATTCGTGGAAACCTGAATGGCCAACAATGCCAAGATGCCGTTCTTCGTCCAGTGGTAGTCCCTCATTTTGACAACCATCCTCTTCAGACAAGACCTGTTTACATGGACGACAATGCTAGACCACACAGATCTCGGGCAGTTTGACGTATTTGCGTCAAGAAGCTATTACCACTCTTCCTTGGCCGGCCTGTAGTCCGGATCTTAATCCGATTGAGCATCTGTGGGAAAGTTTTGGCCGAAAATCAGACATCGTGATCCCCCAGTTCAATATCTCGCTGGACTTCATGAAGAATGGATCCGTTTGCCTCAGAGAAACATTCAACGACTTGTAATGAGTATGAGGCGTAGGGTTGAAGCTGTGGTCAATGTCCGTGGATCATAAACACGTTACTGACGTTTTTGTCTTGCAATAGACTCTGCACTCCCTAGGGTGTCTATGTGACACCTGATATGGTCTGCTGATATCATGACAGTTACATGACAAAAAAAGTTTTTCAATGTTTTCTAATCCTACATTTTCTGGTCTTCGGTAAAATTCCTTTCTGCTCATATTCTTTTGGAACACAAGATAAACTTGCTTTGGGACAACTTTTGCATCACATGAGTTTTACATATGCGGCTTGTAACAATCGTACATCTCGTTATAATAGTCATCATTAAGTGCCAAAAGTAACACCTCACAAATATGGTGGGTGGCGCTTATCGTTTAAGCTTGTGTTTATTACGACTGTCAACACGAGTGTCAACTAACCGTGGCCGTGTACTTGGTCCCACCTAGCAAAGGAAAGCACAGCCAGTTCACGGAAATACAGGTACTGTAAGTAGCATCGCGGAACACTATTTGTGCTCATGGGGATGCCAACTTCTTGCCTTAATGTCTTACCACAAATTTGTACATAGGTGTTATCTATGAGGAAGTCCAGCATTTCACATACTGTTTTCTCAGTAAACTTCAGATGGCATTTGCTTTCAATTTTTACAAATTGACATGAACCTCTGAAGAAAGATATGTAACTATATCCTTTATTACCGCGTTCTGTAACAAAAGCCGAATGGTTGGTTAGTTGGTTGGTTTGTTCTTTAACGCCGCAATATTCCAGCTATATGACGGCGGTCTGTAAATAATTGAGTCTGGACCAGACAATCCAGTTATTAATTCATGAGCATCGATCCACGCAATTGGGATCGATGACATGCATCAACCAAGTCAACGAGCCTGACCACCCGATCCCGTCAGTCGCCTCTTAGAAAAAAGCCCCATGGATCAAGGAATGAAGTGTTTACTTAAGTTTATCATGTGGGATAGTGGTCTACAAAGCTGAAAAATCAAATGTTGAAAAATCAATTTTTGTGACATAATTGAACCTGGCTATTTTCTGACATTCATTGGTCGCAGGACTAAGTGCAGATAATTCAACAATAGTTAACTTAAAACGGTTCACCATGAAGCTCCTCAGCAGCTCGGCACGTTTTAGCTGGATGATATGACTGTCACTTTTATGTTCTTTGGCTTTCTTTGGTGATTTGTGCTTTCTTAATGGATGTAAGGTTTTCTCACTTCTGTTTGAGCTCTTTCCGGGTATGTATGTCTTCTCCGATGAAACGGATCCATGTACAGTTAGATGTGGGCGAAGCCAAAGCACTAATCCTTTACACCATAGAGCCAAGGACAATGGGGCTGGATAACCTTTCCTTCTGCCGCACTACCCTGTAACCTCGTGACTTATGTGCTGTGTTTTACGATCATTTCCATTGTCAGAAACGGGTTCTGGGCATGACAGCTTTTACACCTCCTGTAAGTCAGTTGTCCGATTTTGTCCCCTGTGTATATAGACTATTATTGTTGAGTACATACAGAGTCATAGCTCTCAATGCTAACAATGAAAGGGGCGGTCGGGTAGCCTAGTGGTTAAAGCGTTCGCTCGTCACGTCGAAGACCCGGGTTCGATGCCCGACATGGGTACAATATGTGAAGCCCATATCTGGTGTCCCCCGCCGTGATATTGCTGGAATATTGCTAAAAGCGGCGTGAAACCATACTCACTCACGCCAACAATGAAAAAGCAGTAATTAAAAACAACATATTTTGAAGCTAATATTCCTCAACTGCTCACCCAATATGTGTCAGTTTGGGCAGTGTATAGTATCATTAGATGCCCGTCACCTTTAGTTGTTTCGCTTAGGTCATACGTCATGTACTTTTCAGCCATTTTGGATTCCAATTTATGAGTATGCAATTTTACGGTTGGCAGAATCAAGCATCTGGCAATGTTCTCCTCAGAACCCAACTTCTTGAAACTATTCTGTATATGGTTTCCATACGTCCTACACCAACTTATGATCTGACATTTTTCGAAAATGTCATTTTGTTTAGACATGCCTACCCTTTTCGTGAACAGCTGGTGTTATTTCTGAGTATCAGTGAGCCATTCATATTATTTTAACTGTTATTATGCGTGTTACGCCCAATGTAAATGGAATCTGTTTGGTGTCCACCTGGTTACACTAAGACATCATTCTCACGCAATCCACTTTCTAGTCTAACATGTGAAGCCCATTTCTGGTGTCCCCCGCCGTGATATTGCTGGGATATTGCTAAAAGCGGCGTAAAACCATACTCAGTCAGTCAGTCTAGTCTAACACTCAATGGGTTCATTCGCTTCTCTATCTCACTTCAATTTTTTTTTGATGAACTTCATTGAAGTAATTTTCCAACTGCTTCACAACAACAATCACAATGTTACCAAGTATCCACGTTGGGTGGGCATTTAGCGTGTGAGTATATAAATATACAATTTATTAGAATATTTACAAATTTTTAAACTTATCCTATCTCACATTATGCAATTATCCCACGGTTGGATGGTGGGGCGCAGATACCCTAGCCTGTAACGACTTCAAGTGTGAGACGTACACGAGGAAGCTGGAACTAATCAAGAAATCTCAAAGGATTTTACAAGGATTAGTGATAAACTCGTGTAAGGGTTGCTTCAAAAAAACCTCTTTGTGCTACCAAGAGATATCCATCATGACATCGGGGAATCATGTGTTCCATGGTTTCACACAGGACGCCGTTCAAAGAATGACCGCATAACCATGAGCCAGGCAACACCTACTCGGTCACGACTTAACCTCACCCCGGATAAGAGGAGGTGTTTTGTTTCAAACACCCCGTCCCCGGCGTAGGTTCTACAAGACAGACCTCACACATACGCTTCCAAGGACGTAAGGCGGAACAGCTTGGCATTTATTTTTATCGCTTCGTCAATCTATCAAACTCACGTAGAGATTGAAT